CAGGCTTCTGGGTCATGATCTTAGGATTTACTGAAGTTGAATAAGGTGTAAATTGTAGAATATAGTTTTAGAAGACAGCCATTTTGTTGAAAGAATGAGGCTGGGTTACTTGCAGATAGCCCACTGTGAACTTTGGACTGGGCCACATTCTAAACATTCTGGGATGGGCCACTTTCGTTTGTAAAGTAAGTACTTAAGTCTCTATAGAATTGTTTAACTTGGTATTAGTATGAAAAGGGTTTATATGCAATATGAAAAGGGTTTAAAGGCAGGCATGGATTAAGGTTTCATGGATTAGGTTATGGGATTATACCTGAAAGAACATCTGGTGGGTGGGGAACGCCCCTCACACACCCAATGTGTATAAAAGACCCGTTGTAATTCCCAAAAAACGGCTTCTGGACTAGACAGGGATCCAGTCTTTCTTTCTCTCTCCCTCTTTCTTTCTTCTTCCCCTTAATTGCCAACGCCGTCTCCACCTTTGGGGTACCCTGAACCTGGCTGGAGCTGGTCTCCGGCAAAATATGAATAGATATACAATCAAAGCTAGAGACTAGCTGGGTGTGTTAGCTCGTGGCTGTATTCCCAATTACTCACCGAGAGGCTGAGGTGTAAGGATCACCTGAGCCCAGGAGGTGGAGGCTGTGGTGAGCTGTGATTGTGTCACAGCACTCCAGCTCTGGGGACAGAGTGAGACCCTGACTCAAAATAATTTGTTTTTCAAAAATCCAAAAATATATGAAGAGGAACACTTTGGAGAGTCTTGTCCCCACCCCCATTTTGTCTCACCCACTTTCTCACGTTCCCCCCCTTTCCCCCACCAATCTTGCCAGTTCTTGTGTGGCATTTTGCAAACTAAGTCAACACAAACATCTATTGTTTTCCCTGTTCTGATGTAAAAGGCAGCATAATGTCCACACTGCTCTGAACTTTGTTATTTGCACTGAACAATGTGCCCGGGAGATGTGTTCATTTCAGTACAGAGAGCATTCCCTTTCTCTAACCACATGGTGTTTCATTGTGGGAACGTTCTGTAGTTTATTTTTATTTTTTTACTTTTTATTTTTTGAGTTGGAGTCTCACTCTGTCGCCCAGACTGGAGTGCAGTGGCCGCTCCCGGCCACCGCAGCCTCGACCTGCTGGGTTCCGGCGATCCTCCCGCCTCAGCCTTCCAAGTAGCCGGAACTACAGGTGGGCGCTACCACGCCCGGCTGATAAAAATCAAAAGATTTATTGTAGAGATGAGGTCTCGCCAAGTTGCCCAGGTGGGTCTGGAACCCGCGGGCTCAGGCAATTCAACGAACATCATTTTGAAGGAATAAATGTATTGTTTTCTTTGCCAATAGGCACAATTTTCTGTGGCAGACGAGGGATTCTTCTAACAGTGTCTGCTCTGAAAGGATTTGGGGAGGAGAGGCAAAGCCCCGGCCGCAGGGTTTTTCCCAGCCTTCTCTCCCTCCCTTGCCATATCCATCCCATTCCAGGATTTCTCATTCCCTCACCTGGAGCTGCATCTACTGTCCCAGACCTCCCAGAAAACCCTTGCCTCTCTTTCCTTTTTTTGAGTCAGGGTCTCACTCTATTATCCAGGTTGGAGTGCAGTGGCAGGATCGTGGCTATGGCAGCCTCTACATGCTGGGATCAGGTAATCCCTCTGCCTCTGCCTTCCAAGCACCTGAAACTACAGGAGTGCACATACTTTTAAATTTTTTTTTGAGCCAGGCTCGGTGGCTCAGCCTGTCATCCCGCGCCTTTGGGAGGCTGAGGTGAGTGGATTGTCTGAGCCCGCGGGTTCGAGACCCGCCTGGGCAGCGAGACCTCATCTCTACAATAAAACAAAAAATCAGCCAGGCGTGGTAGCACATGCCTGTAATTCCGGCTACTCGGAAGGCTGAGGCGGAAGGATCGCCGGAGCCCAGCAGGTCGAGGCTGCGGTAGCCGGGAGCGGCCACGGCACTCCAGTCTGGGCGACAGAGTGAGACTCCAACTCAAAAAAAAAAAATTTTTTTTAAATCAGCCAGATGTGGCGGTACACACCTGTAGTTCCAGCTACTCAAAAAGCCGAGGCGGAAGAATCGCCTGAGTTCAGCAGATCGAGGCTGCGGTGGCCATGAGCATGCCACTGCACTCCAGCCTGGACTACAGAGTAAGACCCACGATCCTGCCACTGCACTCCAACCTGGGTAAATCTGACTCAAAAAAAAATTTTTTTTGTAGAGACAAGGTCTCACTATGTTGCCCAGACTGGTTTCAAACTCCTGGGCTCAAGCAATCCTTCCACCTCAGCCTCCCAAAGTGCTGGGATTACAGGTGTGAGCCACCGCACCCGGTTCTCCTGCCTTTCTTTACCCTGTAACTCACCAACAGGCAAATGCAGCGACGGAGACTGGGGTGAAGGAAAGGAGCCTGTTCCCCAGGGAGGGGGTCTGGGGCCTGTGAACCCTGCCCTCCATTGATGTCCATGTAGCAGATGGGCAAGACCACCAGGAGGGGAGAGTGTTAAGAGCCTGCCGGGTTCTTATGCCCCTGCCCAGAAAAGCCAAGATTCAGACAGCAGCTGTCACAACAGAGCAAGAGTTTAAAAATCACAAAGCAGGCTGGGCTCGGTGGCTCAGCCTGTAATCCCGCACCTTGGGAGGCTGAGGTGAGTGGATTGCCTGAGCCCACGTGTTTGAGACCAGCCTGGGCAACTTGGCGGGACCTCATCCTTACAATAAATCAAAAAACTAGCTGGGCGTGATGGTGCATGCCTGTAGTTCCGGCAATTTGGAAGGCTGAAGCGGAAGGATCGCGGGAGCCTAGCAGGTCGAGGCTGCGGTGGCCGGGAGCGTGCCACTGCACTCTAGCCTGGGCGACAGAGTGAGACTCCAACTCAAGAAACAAAAAAGGAAGATGTGCTAGGTAACAAAAGCGTTAAGTAACAGAAGGGCAGGGGTCTCCTTGCAATATAAGCCACAGAACTCTGAGCTTGTTAGTGTTTATTCAGCACTGCACAAGGGAAAGACTTGGGGGCGGCAGAGGCTGTGGTCAGTGCAGATGGCAGGGTGGGAGGATACCCAGAACAGGACTGGGGGGACATACAACACAGTTCAGCAAATCACCTCCAGATTTAACGGCTTAAGGCTAGGAGGGTAGCCAGGCTCAGTGGCTCAGCCTGTAATCCTGCGCCTTGGGAGGCTGAGGTGAGTGGACTGCCTGAGCCTGTGGGTTTGAGACCCGCCTGGGCATCTTGGCGAGACCTCATCTCTACAATAAATAAAAAAATTAGCCAGGCGTGGTAGCGCGCGCCTGTAGTTTCAGTTACTTGGAAGGCTGAGGCAGAAGGATCGCCGGAGCCCAGCAGGTCAAGGCTGCGGTGGCCAGGAGTGGCCACTGCACTCCAGTCTGGTCGACGGAGTGAGACTCCAACTCAAAAAAAAAGGCTAGGAGGGTTAGGAATTCAGGAGTGTCCGACCTGGGTGATTGTCTCAGGACCGTTGGTGAAGTTATGGCCAAGGTGTCTGCCAGGACTGCAGGATCTGCCTTCAAGGGGTTTTCTCCCATGATTACCGGTAGGAGGCCTCAAACAGGACACTTGGCTTCCCAGGAACAAGTAGTTGAAGCCATAGTATCTTTTATGACTTAGCCTTGGAAATCACATACCGTCACTTCTGTCCCCACCTTTTTTTCTGAGTTGGAGTCTCACTCTGTTGCCCGGGCTGGAGTGCAGTGGCACGCTCATGGCCACCACAGACTCGACCTGCTGGGCTCAGGTGATCCTTCCGCCTCAACCTTCCAAGTAGCTGGAATTACAGGCATGCGCCATGCGCCCAGCTAATTTTTTGATTTATTGTAGAGATTAGGTCTTGACAAGTTGCCCAGGCTTATCTCAAATCCATGGCTCAGGTAGTCCTCTCACCTCAGTCTCCCAAAGTGCTGGGATTATAGGCGTAAATCACCATGCCCGGCCTATTATTATTATTTTTATTGTTATTTTGAGTTGTAGTCTCACTCTGTCACCCAGACTGGAGCCTCCGCAGCCTCGACCTGCTGGGCTCTGGCGATTCTTCCGCCTCAGCCTTCCAAGTAGCCGGAATTACAGGCGCGTGCTACCACGCCCGGCTAATTTTTGATTTATTGTAGAGATGAGATCTCGCCAAGTTGCTCAGGCAGGTCTCGAACCCACGGGCTCAGGCAATCCACTCACCTCGGCCTCCCAAAGTGCGGGATTACAGGCTGAGCCACCAAGTCTGGCTTATTATTATTTTTTACTTTTTTTTGAGTTGGAGTCTCACTCTGCCACCCAGGCTGGAGTGCAGTGGCATGCTTATGGCCACCAGAGCATCAACCTGCTGGGCTCAGACAATCCTTCCGCCTCAGCCTTCCAAGTAGCTGGAACTACAGGCACACACCACTGCACCTGCCTAATTTTTGATTTATTGTAGTGAGGAAGTCTTGCCGTGTTGCCCAGGCTGGTCTCGAACCTCTGGGCTCAGGCAATCCCCTTGTCTCTGCTTCCTAAAGTGCTGGGATTACAGGCGTGAGAGCTCCAGTAAAAGTTTACCAAAAGAATAAAAGAATTCGGCCAGGCACGGTGGCACGTCTGTAATTCCAGCACTTTGAGAGGCTGAGGCGGGAGGACTGCTTGAGCACCAGGAGTTCAACATAATGAGATCTCGTTTCTACAAAAAAAAAAAAAACAAAATTAGCCTGGCATGGA